AATATTGCAATATGGGCGTCAAAAGAAAGAGGCTAAAGAAGGCTTACAGCCAAAAATACTTTTTTAGATTTGCCACCTGTTTGAAAATGTACATTTAATTCAATTTATAAGATAAATTGAATATTGTAATATGGGTGTAAAACTGAAGGGGGTTAGGAAATTATATTGCCGAAAATATTTTTAGGGAGGGCTGCCACCTGTTTGAAAAATTTTATTGTATTAAATTGATAAAATAAATGAAATCTATATATACATCTATACATATAATAAAATTGTAACAGGTCGATGTCTGTACCTTATAGATATTAAAGAAAAATTAATATGGTGGGTTTTTATTTAAGCTACAGAAGCCAAATAAACAATTTTTGAATCTCTGTCTGTCTGTATATTTGTACGCACATCAGTCGAAAACATGGAATTGAATGCAGAGTTTTCACCGATGTATCGCTAGAGATCTAGCTTCCAATATAGAAGAAGAAATTAGAGAGTTGCCACCTGTGTTTAAAATTTCAGTTTAGGTCAATTGATACGGTAAAGTGAATACTGCAATATGGCTGTCAAAAGAAAGAAATTTACAAAGGCTTACAGCTGAAAATATTTTTGGGGAAGGTTGCCACCTATTTGAAAACTTTAATTTAATTTAATTGATAGCATAAATTAAATATTGCAATATTGGCATCAAACTAAAGAGGCTAGGAAATTTTAATGCTAAAATATTTTTAGGGGATTTGCCAACTGATTGAAAAATTGTATTCATTAAAATTTGTAAAATAAATGAAATATTCTTGAAGCGGGTTCGAAAACTTTAATTCAGTTAAATTTATAATATAAACTAAGTGTTGCCATATGGGAATCAAACGAGAGTATTTGAGAATATGTTAAAGAAAAATTAATAGGGGGTTTATTAGATCAACAGAAGCCAAATATAAAATTTTGGTATGTTTGTCTGTATGTTTGTAAGCGCATCACGCAAAAGCTAATGTATGGAGTTAAATGCAGTTTTCACCGATGTACATCTTGCTAGAGCTCTAATTGAAAATATAGAATCCATTTTTTTGTTTTTGTTTTAGTTTATCGTCGATCATTATTCCTAGGTATTTGAACGTATTAACTTTTTCCAGTGTGTCGTAGTTTATATTTAGAGTTAGCAACGGACCGTTCTCAAAATTTCGCCTTGATATAACCACAAACTTTTTTTCTGTGTGGAAGGTTTTTCGCTAAAAAAAAATTAAAACTTTTCGTTGTTGCTGCCAAAAAATTAAGAAATCTGAGACGTCGCGTTTTACAATTTCATACAGTTCTCTTTACAATGTATTTCACTAAACTACTAAACGGCTGCACCGACTTGGTTCATATTTGGCAAAATAAATCTTAAAAATAAATATTCTGACCAAAAATTTACTCGGTATGTAGCTCGGGATATTCCTAAAATTCTTATACAGACTAACCGCCCAATTCTATGTTTTCTTGATAAATTTTTTGTAAAGAAATTTCATCAAGATTTGTATCAAGCAAAAGCTTCGTTCGCATTCTGTGTCAATATTTATAAAACATAAGCTCTACGATTTCCACATTAGTGGAACTGATTTCCACATGAGTGCAACTGATTTCCATGATACAAAAAAGAAGGTAGTTTCAATAAACAACTTTTGACGGATAATAAAATTTTTTGAAGTTTCATAAATTGTCAGTATTATCAACGGCCTTGCCACTTTGATAATATTAAAACAATACATCGGAGTATTTTCTTTCCCATATTTTTACCAATGTGAGAATATTTCAAATCAAAACTCACAATCAGTACTTGATATTTTTTTACTTACGTTGTTTGCCCCTCTTTTATTAAAAATATATAAAATGTAAACTGTTACATTGTAATTATTCTTTTTATTTTATAATAAAAACCATTAGTGCATTATGTTGTTATTTTTTTCATTTTCTTATTTTGATATACAATTTTCGTTTCTTTAATCTTGCGATTTAAAAATCGAATTCTAGAGAATGTTCTTCCCAAATAAAATCTTTTTATAATATTTTGGTCCAAATTTACTTTTAAATTTCTCATCAGATTTTGCAAAAATTTTGGCTTTGTGGTTAGCGAATCACCATTAATTTCAACAAATTTTGAATTCAAAATTTCCAATGTATGCAAAAAACTTGAATTAGGCTTGTACAGACCGCCCTTCGATAAACAGTTAACGTACGTATAATTTTGATCACTTTCTACATGCGTCCTGAAGCCTAGTTTTGTCAACCCCATTTTCGAAATTATGTGGCCGCAAAATTTTCAAGTCCATCATATTCCACATCTTTGAGTGGACTGATGAAATCTTCCGCTTCATGCTCTTCTGCGAGCTACTTAAAAAAATTAGAAATCAAATAAAAACGAAAGGGTAAGGAGTTTACCTCGAGTTCTTCTTCTGCGGATATTTCAATATCGTTAAGTGGTTTGAAAACATTTTCACTGAGCAACTCCTCTTCAAATTTTAACATTACTTCACTTGAAGACTCAACATTTGTTTCCGTGCTCAAAATAGTTTCGTTTCGCCCTAATAAAGTTCATGCATACATTTTAGAATCTTTATGACAACAACAATAATTTCTTTAAGTGGTTAAAAAATTACCTAGAAGGTATGATCGAAATCTGTACTTGAATTCGAGAGGTGACGGATGGTCATGCAGTCCTCCTTTCATATATGTTCAATAACTTCACTAAACTTCTCTCATTTTCATACATTTTTGTTTACTTTTACAAAAAAAAAATATTATCTCTGGTGATCAGGTAGCATGAATTTTATGAAATGTCATAATTTTATTAAAAGTCAAATGGTTAGCAACAACAACGAATGTCATTAAATGGAACTACCTTCTTTTTTGTATCATGCTGATTTCATTGTCACATATGAAAAATATGAATTTAAAAGCGAAAAAGCTTTTGACTGCCGTATCCGAGTATGTAGAGATGTCGACTAAAATTCCGTGTGTCGCAGGTTCAAATGCCGGCACATGGAGTATTTAATTGTTAGAAACAAATTTATTAAGATACAAAATTTATACATTTCACATGAAATTTCAATTTGTCAATAGCATTTTCAATCTTGATAATTTATCAAGAAAAGGGCTTTTGATTTCTGTGCTAGAATACCAATTCTTGATAAATAATAAAAAATTGACAAATTATAAAGATTTTAAATTTATCAAGTACACAGAATCGGGCTGTAAAAAACCAATATATCTCTAAAACCAATTACGCTGGGAACTGAAACTTAGCACTGATGTATATATTGCAAATGCCTTGGGAAAGGGGGCGTGGCTCCTTCCTTCCCATATAGCTTATCTCTGGAACTACTTACGCTAACGTCCTGAAATTCTACACAGCTACAGTTTTTATCAATACCGTACTTATGGCGAAAAGTGGTAATTATTGGAAAGACTGCATCGATATACATTTACGTAAACGCGCAAGTATCACTCGATTGGGAACAATTTTCTTCTAGATTTCTAAATCCCATTGAAATATTGTAACTTTGTTTTTAGTTTTTAGAAAAAGATAAAATTTATGTGAAAATTTTGAAGAATTTTTTTAAATTTTGTACAAAGAATGGAGCTTTGATTTTTCGGGTTTCGTTATAGACTGCCCTATATCTACATACCTATTTGCATAAAATGATAGCCGTTTTCGTTGTTCGGAATAAACTCAAAAACCACTGAATAGAGTTCCGTCAGATTGTCGGAGGTTATCTGCTATTATAAAAAGCTATTTATAAAAATCGTATTTATTAACCGATTTCGTTCAAATTTTAAATGTGAGCTATGTACCTGTATGATGGAAAATTCTTTTGATAAAAATTTACCCGATTAGTGCCGCTGGAGTTAAGGTTGAAATTCATAACACGTATTCATTTTATGGTAAGCAATGGTTTTGCAGAAAATGAACCCAATGGATGGCGCTGCAGCTGAAATGTATAGAAACCCAGTGGTTGGTCTGCTTTGGCCCTATGTTTAAGTTATACGAATTTAGTTTTCAGATGTCTAAATGAAGAATGGGGTTAAGTTTGTAAAAGTGGTGAATTAACAAGGAAAGATCACCGTAGGTATATCAATTGCTCCCTTTGAAAGATACTTAACAGATCACACGACTCATTTAGCAATGTACCGGAAAACTTTTCATCCTATAGGACAGCGAGGATTCTTGGCCGTCCTATAACAGAAAACTCACTTCTGTGCTCTTGAGTTTCCCTATAAGAACTTTTATTGGCATACGCATCGCACCAATGTTGTAGTTGCAAGATCATACAAAAAGATTACGGATGCTTGGCAGAGATCTCACAGGTGGAAATAAGACCATTGGTAAAGCTCATGACACCAAAAGGGAAAGGTATTCCATATGGAATCACAGCGTTACTATTATTGGCCTATGTGTGAGGAGGATACTGCACCTTAGTGGTTTCAACTTAAATAAAAAATTTTGACTTTACAGACTAATTTTGTTTTTAAACGCTCTTTTGCATTGGCCAACCAAAAGCTCTTATTAGGCGCCGCGAAGTAAGCGGGCATTGGCTAGTGTATAATAGAAATGATATGTTACTAAATAAGCATATATTCAATTTTATAATTATATCTCGCTGAGATGAGTTTTTTGGCCCACTGTATATGCTATTTACTTTTTATGTACATATATGTGGCACTTTCGCGGAACGAACGAACTGGGAACGGGATACTGCTTATACGAGCAAAGGGAATGTTCGAAAAAACACAACTTTATCTATTTAAATGTACATATGTACGAATGTATGTACGCAAATACGCTTTTACTTGGGTATCGAAAAATAAGCACTTTGATTATTCACCCAATGATTTTCAATAATTATTTGGCTTGTACGAGACCCAGCCAATCTGGGTTTTGCACTATTTTTTAGTGTAGTTTGCTTATATGGCGGGATTTTCTATGAGTATATACATATGCATAGACACACACGTATGTATATATTCCCACCATGCAAAACATGAGAAATAGGCAACAATCGTCAATGGCAACAAATTGGCGACTCACCGATTTATTGCTGTGGTGACAAATCGGCAACATCACTTCGTTAATGTCAATTTTGAATAAAAAAGTTCTCAAAAATTCCGAAACTTATGAATATGGCGTCAATAGTATTGGCCAAAAGCATCTATATTATGCCCAAGGACAAGATTGAAAAAATAGGAAGTCGCACAGCGAGAAAATGAATTAATTCCGATTGTAAGTTGCAATTTGGTACAAAAAAATAAATGAAGTATTAAAAAGAATAAAATTATTCCAAAAATCGCCTGAAGCGATAAGAAAAGGACTCATTCAGGTAATAAGAAAACGACTCGCCCAGGCGAGTTGCCTTCGGCGGACGTTTTAGAGCGACCGGTAATAGGAAATCGATTCGATGGCAATATTACCGGCAATAAATTTGTTTCCGAGGGCGACACGTTTTCTTATTGCTGGCAACACAAATTGTTTGGTGGGTTTAATGGTATGTATTCGTATATGTGGGTATGTTTCGTTTTCGATAAAGCTGGTGGATGAACTTTTGCCGAATTCTACCGTCGACAAGCGGTATTGCAAAACAAATATGTCGTTCGTCGTTAACTCACGAATAATATGTAAATGTGTATATTTTCCCGCCAAAAGTGCTAATTATATATGTATTTTTAATTGTATATAGCCGTAATTTTGAGAACAAAAGAATTTTATCTTTACTTACGGCTTTTGTGGATACTTAGACTTGAGTCGCTGATTCTTTGTTTTCGGAGAGAAGGACCAATTTTACAGCCGTGTGGGCTGTAGCTTCTTTCGACGGGTCGAACGCAAACAGATAATGACTTTGCGGGCGGCTGATGGAGCGTCTTTCGACTGGGCGGCTGGCGGATTGGCTGGTGCCTGGAAGATGCGTCGGCGGCTGGACGAATGGTCGGCTGGCAGGCGGAAGCTGGACTTTCGGTCAGCTAGGCCACTGGGTGATTTGTGGGTGTTTGCGTGCAGACGGTGTACACAGTTGTAAAGCTGGGCAATTCCGGTCGGTGCTGGAATTGGCTGGTGGCGATGGTTGGTTAACCGAACGGCGGCGATGAACTCGGCGGAGCACTAGATTGCACGCGCGAAATCTGATTGCACAGAAAATCTATTTCTGCGTGTAAAAATACCGCAGCAATTAGTTTGGACCTTGCAGAAAACGACACGCTAAACGATTCGATTTAAAATACAAAGTTTATTTCAGTAATGCGTTTTGGAAACAAACTAGCTAATATAGGGCACAATCGGTGGAGCACAAAAGCGAGCGAGTTCACGATTCTTGGACGAAAAATGGTTTTTTGTGTAGAAAAATTTTGTTTTTATGTATCTGCATACATACGTATACCTACAGCGCTGAGTCTGTAAACTTATGTCAAAGTGCTGAATTGTGCTGACACCGATGTTGCCATGTGATACTAATTAACATTGCATACTTCATTTACGAAATTTCATTTACGATATTTCATTTGAATGAATAATAATGGAAATTTGAATTCAGAACAGTTTGGTTATACAAAGTTATAGGTTTTTTACAAGTTAAGCATTTTTCACAAATCTAAATGCTAAACACGGCGGCCTCGCTTGGACAGATTTAAACCAAACTTATATGGGACAACCTATGAGGTAACACCTTTCCTTAAAAAAAAAATTATTGAAATCGGTTAACGTGGTCCAAAGACATGCGGTAACATATATAAAAAAAAAATTGCCACGAATTGATAACCTTCTCCTTTTTGTGAAGTCGGTTAAAAAGAAAAAAATATCTCAGTGTTGTTTCAAAAACACTGTTTAAAAAACTAAATTTGACTTATTTAAGGAAATTTGTATGAATTTTACTGAAACGACTTTAAATACACTCTAAAAAATTTTTGTTTAAATCTAAGCATATTAAGAGAGGTAACCAGTTTCCTACTTTAACATACATGCACTTTTTAGAGTGTACAGGTACGAATGTAACATATTACTTATTATTTATTATATTTACTTTGCAAAATACTTATGCAGAAGAAATTTAACTTATGAACTGAATTTATAAATGTTTGATTTTATGAAAAATAAAAATATATACATGTATTCCAAGTTCTTAGGATGGGTTAAATGATGTATTTTTCTTGAAAATGTTTTGTTTTCTTACAAATTATGAGATGGATACTTAAAAAAAGAAAATTGGGTACATTTGGATACATTTTTTGCTTGGTCGGTGATACATTTTCTTGATACGGCGGACACTGAATACGACCTTTAATATCTTATACGATACTACCTAGGCTACCTTTGCCCAAGATATCCGACACTTTGCATTTTGTATGCTTCTTTCGTTTGCTAAAATATAGACAAATTCATTCAAAATCAGCTTGCAAGTTGCAAATGGCATACCAATGCGTTCTTTTCTTCGAAGAATATACTTGGTCTTCAAGCTCGTGAGCCGTTCAGTTTCCCTATAATCCAGTGACCGGGAACCCAAATGAGTAGTGCCAATGCGACCGCGCTAAGAACCGCTTAGAGTCGGTGTAATTACCGGCGGGCTTTTTGTGAAGAGCACACGTTTCACTTTTTCCGAATTTACGCAGAGTTCCCAAAGCGTTTGACCATCTTTATAACTCACGAAGCGCCCTCTGTATCGAATAGCACTACGCCACGAACAGCAGAAGCGAAAACTTTCGCGGCCCCATCTCCACCCCATTTCGCAATAGAGAGTTTGACGTTAAGGTTCAATGAAGAGGTGAGGGTTTGCCACCGTGCTATATACCTCTTGTCATTTGCCTAGAGATCACCAGATTTTCTGTTGGATTTTTTAAAAAGCAGAATGTCCGCTAATAAATCCACAACTTATCGCGAGCAGTGTTGCAAAAATCATTAAAAGTGCAATAGGGCTATATATTGGTTATCAAAAATGGCGTCTGTCCCTTAACTGATACGATGTTCAAAACATAATGCAATGAAATCTAAAGGTACAAGTAAATATTTAAGGAAAACCACATCATTTTTCTTCATTTTATTCAAAAGATATAACCAAACAATTTCGGGTTGTTTGATTTATTTTGGACGGTCCTTGTGTTTCCTACGCGAATATATCCCGCTGAGGTTATTGAAAATCCTATGTAAACTGTTTTACGATTCCTATCGGGTCATGTTTGGTTTCTTGCCTAACTACCCCGGAATAGACCACAATTATCCAACGGAGACTCGCCAGTTCACTAGCTACAAAGTTTTCTGCGATACCGCTGTGAACTCATAGCTAAATAAGTTTGTTGGTGAAGTAGTTATATGAATCCAAGATGGGTGTTAAGCATTCCCTTACATTTTCAAGTGAATTTCGCCTTGAACACCGGACACTTAATAAATACTCACCGCTTTGGAAGGTGGCTCATCAGCATGCATACACTTCTGTTGATATTGTTTCATGGCAACAAACTCTGCTTTAAACACAGCAAAATTATTTGGAAATTTACATTTGGAATTAGAGATATTTTTGCGGAAGACACATCCCCCAAGTTTGTCAGATTTAGAAGGATTCACTGAATATTTATGAAGTGTCCAAAAATTTTTAAAGTTTTTCCACATCACAGGCTTTACAAAAGTAACATAAAGTCAGTAAATTACCTTCGGTGAGAGACCTGCAGCGGTAAAAGACAGCGAAAGTTTTCTTTATACTGTTCTCAACATTTGGCTTCTAAGCTATGTTACTGCCAAGGACCAAGTTTGTACTTACATAGCTCTGCATGTTACGGGAAACTCGAATGTTAGGTATGCTGTTACTTTTAGTGTAAAAAACTAGAGTTGCCCCTAGAACAAAGACGATAAGTCCATCATACCATAGCAAGCTCTAATTACATAGCTCATTTAGGGTATTTTGGAAAACTCGGTTACTTAAGAGCGTTTTTTTTTCCTTAACAATTTTAGTTCGATTAAAGAATTTTGCTAACTAAAAATGTGTGGAAGATCGACCTATCTCGGCAGCCAGTTCGAAAACGCTCTATCTCAAAAAACTCTTAAAGAACGCCCTATTTCAGAATTCGTTTCAAAGACGCCCTATCTCAGCTTCCGATTCAAAAACGCCCTATATTAGCATATTTTCAATACATTTTGAAGTGAGATAGGGCGTTTTTGAACCGAATTTCGAGGTAGGGTATTATTGAATAAAATTCTGAAATAGGGCGTTCTTGAAAAGTTTTTTGAGATAGGGCGTTTTCGAACTGGCAGCCGAGATAGGTCGATCTTCCACTCAGCCATCGATATGTAATCAGGAGCACAACAGCGTGTAGTATAATATATAAAGCGGATTTTCGAACCTTGGGCGGAACCGCAAGATACCAACCAAATTTAATTTTCTGTATTTATGTGGTATCCTAATAAGGTAGATAAACTGAAAAATATATAACATTTTTCGATAAAATTCGTTACATAAAAGCAGTAATTTTATTCAGTAGAAAAAACGTATAAAAAACTTGTTTAAAAAATAACTATAGTCTCCACATCACCGGTCAAAGCGATGCTCTCAATTTCCACCAAAGCATCCAGGGGCAAGCGGGCCGCTTGAATACAGACGCGTGCGGGGAAATCTTTGGAGAAGACTGTAAACAGAGAGAGAAAATAAAAAATATTATTATGTTGTTAGTAGATACATTTGTGTGGAGACATTTTTGTAGACTAAAGTAAAGAGAGTGTAAGATAGTAAAAACCAAGGAATGAAACCGATTCAAAATAACGTTCCGGTTTGGGTTTCGGTTTTTCCAAGTGTTTCGGTTTCGGTTTTGGTTTCGTTCTTCAAAATTTATTTCGGTTTTGGTTTCGGTTTCGTTCCGGTTTCGGTTTTTCACAGAAATTTTGTTGATATTATCTATTTAAATCACAATGTCTTAAACGTTGAGGAAAGAAAATCGAAAATTACAGTTCCCTGATGATATCAACACTAGGTTCTTTCCCTAACAATCCGGACCGGATTTGGTAATTAGAGAATAAGAGAAACATTTTCTTTCAAAAATGGAACAAAGTTCAGAAGTACGGAAACGCAAAAACCCACATTTCGTGCCCACAAGTCGAGAAACAGCTGATTCACGTTGTTCTTGTTTATGTCACTTATACCATGTTCTGACCGACATCGGAAACATGTTTTCGTTGCTAAAACTGGTTTTCGACCTAAAACTTGTGTTTTCGTGCATATAAAATCTGTTAAACGAAAACCAGTTTTCGCTGAAAACTACTTGAAAACTCACTTTCCACTCATTCCAATCGGTGTCTTCACTAGCTTTTTTCGATTATTTATCAAAGTCGAAGTCATATTTTATCATCTTTAATACGCCATTTCGGATTTATCGTTAATTTCCTGGCCAAAGCAAAATAAGAATGAAAGTTAAATGTTGTAAATGAAAAGAAAATGAAGGAAAAATGTTTTGGTTGTCGGTCAGAACATGGTATTAAATGCAAACACTTGGAAATTGAATTTTGCTTTCACAAATTTAAATTTAAGTACATAGATTGAAAATACATCAACAGGCCATTCACTTTTCCTTAAAAGCACCAAGTAAATGCAGGCAACATGTAAACACAATACAGCTGATATGCACTTTGACACTTTATCCATTTTTACTCGGAGAAAATTTCGGGCTGTTTCGGGCAGGAAGAAGAATACACTTACGATCGAATACGCTCGAATTTTCGCTCTCTATTACCCATTTTGTTGAGTACAGGCATGATTTCTGGGCTATTTTGGGCACACGCGGGACCTCGCATTGCGTACGGGAAAGAAACTACTTTAATATAATTAATCGATTATCGATTCACAACAACAAAGTCATCAGCAGATTTTTGCGAAAAGTTACCTTGCCATACTTATTTACTACTTAACAAGAATTTTAGCAAAATGTTGCTGATTTTGGTTAAATAAATCATTTATTTCAAAGAAATTTTTATTTATTATTTTTGGTAAATTTCTGGAAACCGATTGAAACCTGTGATTGAAATGGTTTCGGTATCGTTCCTTTTCAGGTCAAGATAACGGTTACGGTTTCGGTTTCGGTTTTGAAAAACGAAACGGTTTTAAACGGTTACGGTTTCGGTTTGGGTTTCGGTTTCATTCCTTGGTAAAAACCATGATAAAAACATAACAAGGTAAAACCATTGAGAGCAGTCTGACGTTTGCCAACAATATAATTTTAAAATCAAAACTCAAACTCACACACACATTCTCATTTTCAATCTCAAACAACAACAATTGTGAACAATTTAATTTTTTTATTTTCAATTTTATATGATTTTAAAATGTTGGCAAACGTCAGAAAAAAATCATGGCCGACGAATTGAGAGAATGAATTTACCTTGTAATGTTTTTATCATGGTAAAAACCTCATGCCGGCAACGAGTACATAGAAGTTGTCGCTACAATAAACAAATAAAAACGCACGCTTATCAACCAACTACATATAACAAATTGTTTACGCTAAATATTTTCATCAATTCTACTACAACAGGGTACTAACTGCTGATAAGCTATGTCTTGTTTTTTTACAACCAATATAATTCTAGTCACTTACTTGACAATTAGCCGACAATTAACGATTATTCAATATTGATTAGGTTAAAAAAAAACAACAATAACAAATGCAAAAAATAAAAACCAATACCATATAAGCCACTCACCTTTCTTGTAAACCTCATTGACCGCACCAAAGTCATTCAGATTCTACTACAACAGGGTACTAACTGCTGATAAGCTATGTCTTGTTATTGCGTGAAAGCACTGATTCATGGGGGGTAAATGTATCTGGCAAC